TATGTGGCTTAAGGGTAGTGCATAAGCGGGGAAGCCAAAGAGAGGCAGGAGAGACGGTAGAGGCCAAAGATCTAGCCTCCAGGATCCGTCAGGCCTATGGCAAAGATCCCCAGCTTACGTCCGTAAGACAGCAGCAAGAGATGCGCTGTACAAACGGGTTATGGCTGCGAGGCAATCAGGTATATATACCTGCCAGTCTGCGGACTGAGATCTGCCAGTTGGCTCACGACCATCCAAGTGCGGGACACTTTGGTCAAGCCAAGACCCTCGACTTGGTCCAGCAGCATTACTGGTGGCCAGGAATGCGACGAGAAGTACAGTCGTACATCGATACTTGCCTGGTTTGTCAACAGGTTAAGTATCCTCGTCAAAAGACCCCAGGCTTATTACAGCCATTGGGCATTCCTGGGGAGCCATGGACCGAATTGTCTATGGACTTCATCACTCAACTGCCAAAAACTAAGGAGGTCATGATGCTATCGTCGTATTCGTCGATAGACTGACCAAAATGGTCCGCCTAGCAGCCATGACCACTGAGCTCTCCGCAGAAGGAGTAGCTGACCTGTTGGTGCAGAATGTGATAAGGCACCACGGCCTCCCCTCTCAAATAGTGTCCGACAGAGACGTTCGGTTCACTTCCAGGTTTTACCGGTACCTGGCCGAGAGGTGGAAGATTCAGCTCAACATGAGCACTGCGTACCATCCACAGACGGATGACCAGACCGAAGTCATGAATCGGATTCTGGAGGATTACTTACGCAGCTATACGTGTTCTGACCATGACGCGTGGGATGAACTGTTAGCCATGGCCGAGTTTGCTATGAACAACTCGAAAAACAGTTCCACCCAAGAGACCCCGTTCTATCTGAACTACGGGAGGCACCCAAAGAGTCCCTTAGCTCTTGGTGTGCAAATTCGGAAGCCTTTAAAGGGTTATGACAATCCGAATGCCCGCGGCTTGGCAGTGGCCATTGAAAGGGCACAGCAGCCTTACTTGAGGCAGTCTGGTACACCCCTCGTGGAGGGATTACCAGCAGTGACACGATTTGATCACCGTGTCCAAACAGCGCTGAGAGAGGCCAGGGCGTGCTTGGAAAAAGCACGAGATAGGCAGTCGAAGCATGCTGACCGCCATCGGAGGGATGTGTCGTTTAATAAAGGAGATGATGTCCTCCTTTCGACACAACATATCACCCTCAAGCACCCTGGAACTCGAAAATTATTACCGAGGTGGATTGGGCCCTTCACCATCCTCGACCGGATAGGTTCTGTCGCATATCGACTAGAACTCCCGGAAAGCATGCATAGGATACACCCAGTATTTCATGTGTCGAAAATCAAGCCTTAGAAGGCAAGTGGCAGAGTACAGCCACCCCCAGTACCTATTGAGATCGAAGGTGAACTGGAGTATGAAGTTGAACGTATCCTTGACAAAAGAATTAAAAAGTGTAGGAGACGCAAAAACTATGTTGAGTACCTTGTCAAATGGCTGGGGTATGGACATGAGCATAACAGCTGGGAATCAGCAAAGTCAGTTGCAAATGCACAGGAACTGGTTCAAGCATTTGAAAATGGCAGAACACCTGTGATACGAATGCAAACTGCATAAAGTACGGGAAGTACATACTGAGACATGCTCATGTGTGACTATGCTTTGACAGGTTCTCCTACGATGGGCCTAGAAGAACACTGGGTACACCGCCCCCCATGCCAAGACGCAATTTGGACACATGAATGCCATATCTGTTGCGATCTTGAACGGAGAAAGATTGGATCTGGACGACCCGCTCGTGCCGGCACCTCGTGGAGCTGTGCGTGTGCGTGGCCGCGGGCGAGGACGAGGTCCCGCACTGGGCCGACGCACCCCTGCATGGGCGTTTGGTGGTTCCCACTCTAGGGGTCATAGATCATAGGCCGGGAGGTCGAACATTCCAACCATTTGGCTGAGGAAGAGTTTTAATGAGGGTTGTGAAGACCGGAAGGTCATGTAAAAACAACCACTCTTTCTCTTCACCACTAACTGTGTAGTGTATACCAACTGGGCATGTGGCAAATTGCACAGCCAGTTCTATTCACATACACATAAAGTTTCTGCTCCCATATCCACATATTGGGATGAGGACGCCCCTCTCCCTGAGGGGGACGAATGTTATGCGCACCGGCCTGATGTGGGGGACGCCCTACTAATGGTCCTTGGTGTGGGGGACGCCCTGCCCAAGATCGTATTGTATTCCTTGTCCCACGGTAACCATTATACTTATATGGATATGGGAGTAGGAGGGGTGGTCCCGCCTATGTGCCCTGTAAGGACCTAGGTGCCCGGCGAGGTGGGTCCGCGGCTCAAAGAGGGCAGGAACCCCACACCCACAGACTTTTCATATCAGGCTAGAAAACAGGTCTTGCCTGCGAGAATAGAGATAGAACCTTTGTTATTAATTCTCAAGCGTTTTCCCATTCCCTTTCCCAGGCTCCATAAATGAACTAAAGTTGCCATCCCCTTATTTTCTGCAGACCCCTCGTTTGTACTTACTACTAGTTTTTTGAGTTGGTGGCTTTCGCCCCATCCTCCTCCATGGCCTTCAAGAAGGAGCATCCCTAGATGACATGATTGGTTCTAAAGTCTTTCAACTCCCGGGTCAGATAGTTGATGCCGATACCCAGTTCATGGAGTGTCAGGAACCCCACAATTGGGTACGTGATGGATGGAGAAACCAGGAAATTCACTCCAACTCTCTCCTATGCTAAAGGATCAATCCTAATGGACGTTCGGAGTGAACCAACTACCTTCCCTGGTTTGCCATCAAAACCAACCACTGTAGGCAACTTCCCACCTTTCACATACGGTATACTCCGCTCCTCTCCCAACTTCTGGGGGAGAAGTTTCACCTCTGACCCCGTATCCACAAGACAACGCTTGAACTCTGCTCCATGAATGGCAGCACTTACGAACAGTAAAGTCCGGTTGTCTTTCTCATACGGTGAGTCAGCGTCCAGGGGGTCCATGCACTCACTGGGAATAGCCTCGGTGGCAGAGATTTGGGCTAGAGAGGTACTCGAACTGGCTGCTTCCGCTTGCACGCCTCAAGCTCTCCTGAGGTCGCATCGAACTTCATCATAATGCTTACGCTTCTTCTCTCCAATTTTTTCTTCCTGGCAGCCTGTTCATAGTCATATATTTTTTTCCATTCAAACACTGGATGATATCCCACCTTACACCAAGGGCAACGGACTGCATCATCCCGTTTAGGCACCCCTTCGACTGGTTGTAGGTCAAGCTTTGGGGCTGTTGGAAAACCCTCACCGACCACTTTGATTAACTTGTCAGCAATTGTGACCAGTTTGTCCACCTTGTCCATCTTTTTGTCTTTAATAGAACGCCCCTTTTGCAATAGTCCAATTCCTTCCCAGAACAATGCCATAATGGGAAGTCCATGGAACCCTTTTCAGATGTACAGATGGATGATGGACAACTTAGCCATGTGACGGAAAAGGTAAACCAATGCATTCCCACTGAAGAAGATGACCACAGCGGCAATCAACCTCCCCAAAATGAGCAGATTGGCTCTGACCAGGAAAGCCACTGCCTCAACCGTTGCAATGGAATACTCATATGGGTTCATAAAAAAAACGTATGGTGCGCATATCGCTGCGTCAACCGCATAGAGCATGCACGTTTGGACAGAGGTACAATTGAGAATGGGCCCAATTTCTTTTTTGCCAGCCTCACGCTTAACATCCGCCAATGACATAAATTCTATCGACTCTCGCGATTTCCTTCCTCCACCCGGGGGGTCAGGAGTTCGTGCCAGGGATTTTGCATGTTCTGAACCCCACCATGACCCCCATGAAAACATGGACTTCTCAATTGGATCCGTGTCATCTTTGACCACGATAGACAAAATCCGTGACATCTTGTCATCAACATCCTTTAGGAACTGCCGATGCTTAACTTGCTCCTCACGGATCTCGCGGTATTCGCGATTCAATGCCGACAGGCGTCGATCGACATCCAAGAGATCAACATGCATGGCTGGTTTAGAAACAACAACCTCCACCAACTCATCCACCGCATCCACAATCTTTCTGCTCGATTCATCTTCCCCACCCAACATATCCCCCATGTCGTCGATCGTGATCGACTGCGTGATCCCCCAGAACAAGGTCGTCCAAGCCAGGACCAGAACCAGTGCTCTGAAACCATGCAACGAGACATGTGAATTCATCTTAGGGTGAGTGCAAATCCGTAAACGGATTACCTCAGCTTTGCTTGTCGCCTGCCTGGGTCAACACGACAAAATCGCGGGGATTCCAACCGAGGTGCGAGAGATTCACACGTGGGGATTCACAGAAGTTAAACAAGAACACCACGCACTCAAAGCCAGCGAAGTCAACCAACGGAACGTTCGTTTACAGGATGTCCAGATACATCTCACCCACTCCCACTGTTCCGCACCCCCTCGATTCCCTGGCGGCAGGAACGAGACATTGCAACAACTTAGTCATGTCTTGAAATTGTTGTCCATAATTATTGTTTGTAACTGACAAAACCTTTGATTTGACAACTTGGTGTTTGAAATCGCACGTGTGTGCCAAGAGAAACACTTCTATATCCACATATATTTTATGCTAATGTTATTGGATTGTTTGGATGGTGAGTCTCCCCAGGGGCATCATTGTATCACTAAATAAATTCACAACTGGCAAATGAACATCAAAAATTGGCACCCTTGGTGGCTACCACCATCCTACTTGCTCCCTTCAGCATGGCATTGCCCAACAGGCCTCCTATGGTACTCTTGGAACGCGTCCCATCGGTAACATCTCCTGGACTGTCCACCTTTCACAGCCATCCATATAGCCATCCACCCGATCAGTAATGCATGCGCACAAACCCGCGCACGGCGCGAACCGTACACCCGACTACGGATTGTACTCGACAGTTTGGGAGCACCAGGCACAACACAACCGCCACCGCCCTTCCCGGCGGCCCGGCTGCAGCCATGGTGTCCAAGAGCTCCCGCAAGGGCAAGAAGGCTTGGCGGAAGAACATATCCGCGAAGGCCGAGGTCGCGGCCGTCGAGCAGCGCACCAGCGAGGCGGTGCAGGGCGTGGCGCAGCTGCATGACGGCGACCTCTTCGTCATCGACAAGGTGCGCGCGTCGGACAGCCGGCATCCCTCCCCATAATCCCCTCCCCCCCCGCGGGCGAGAGGATCCCTGGCATCGCAATAGCCCGCTCGCATTGGCCTGGCCGGATCTCGCGCCACCAGCAGCTCAAGAGGGACTTTGCGTTCCAGCGCCAGCTGCGGCGCGACGGCGGCTCGTGATTTCGTCCGTCGCAGTTTTGACATGTCGAGTTCATGCCGTCCGTTCGTACGTCGCTGCCCGCAAGGCGCAGGGCCACCGCTCTGTCGCTCGAAAACAAGCCCAAGAGAGTTCAAACAAAGGGCTGTTGTCAAGTTTAAGCGACGATCCGAGTTTAAACCACTCTAAACAATGCACACTTTGTTGAAACTGCTTTAAACAGAGGATTCCTTGTTGAAACCAGCGTAAGCAATGGACCCTTTGTTGAAGCTAACTTGAACAAAGGACGTCGGCAGTTATGCCGTCCGTCGCGGCGCGGGATTCGATCGCCTGGCCCTGAGCGCAGTATCGGTTGCAGGGTCGGGATGACGAGACCGCAGAGGCCGTGCGGCGGGGCGTGCGTCGGCGGGGGGAGGTCAGGCAGCTGAGGAGCGTGGCGGTGCTGGAGGCGGTGCACTCCGGCTCGAGGAAGCCGTGGGGGCCCAAGAAGGGGCAGGAGGAAGGAAAGGGCTCCAAGAGGGAGAGGGGCAAGGGCCAGGGGCACGTGGCGGCGAAGGGGAGGAAGGCGTCTAGCGCCCGAGGTGAGAATCTGATCGGATTGCAACCGGTTGGGTGATTGACGGGGGTTGTACGTTGGCCGACGCGGGACCGGGGACAGCCATTCCGCATCGCTTGCTTGAATTGGTAGCCCCTGCAAGGGACTGACAGTTGTATTGTGGATATTCCAGACACTGCTGCACATGGCGTTGGCAGTGATATCCACTGTGTTGCATGCATATGTGCAGTGAGCGCATTCGCTAAACAGCAGCAAGCAAATGCAGCCACTGCCGATTGACACTACAAGTTGCTCCTCCTGCAGCTATTAGGAAGGCACTGCATGCCAGTGCACCCTGGGCTCAGTTTGAACGAGTGCCTGCAGTGAACTATGCCCATCATCGCACTGAAATAGGACACGATTGTGTTTGTCTTTTATTTGCTGAATGTGTTTGGGTGGGCTGTTTCTCAAGCAGGTGAGGAATTGAAGGATTTGTGGGCAGATGAGCCCTGCAGCACGGGCCAGCACGGGGGGGCTGCCCAAGCACACGCCAACAGCTGGCTTGACACTGATGGTAAAGCTGCCATGGGTGCAAAGTATGCAATGTGGAGGCGACAGCGCCGGAATTCGAAGGTCCCAGCAGTGGAGGTGGATGCCCCTGGGTGTTCTTATAATCCCGACGAGGAGCAAAGAAAGGTACAGGGGTTGTTCAGTCAGAGATCCGCCATCCATAGCCCACAGGGCTCAAGAATACATTTGCTTTTGGCGGGATGACTTTCGACAGGAGCACAGTACACAGTGATGAATAATGTGACAGAGCGTTGCCTTTGCATCTCCTGGTCGTTGTCTTATCTCGGCTAGAGCAGAACATGGGAACTGACATGGCCATGTGCAGGTGATGGGCTAGACATGTGCAAGCAGTACAGTGTTTCAATGGTTGCGGACTCCAACATGCCACCTTGAGCTGGATCGGTCCACGATGTTCCACGATGAATGCACAGATTGTCAAATTTGCACAGGTGTATGTGGTCTGCCTGGCTTGGAGACAGCTGCCCATGGCTTGTGGTTTGTGATTTGTGTGACTGTTGTGGTGAAAACAGCTGCCTGCAGCTGCTTTTGCTTGGCGGCCTGCCCATTGGGCACCTTGACCTGTGGTGGAACGTCTTGAGTGAATTTCTGTATTGATTGATTTCATCCTGAACTTTGCAAGATGACAGACAACTGCATGTTACACATTGTTGCTATGTTGACAGTGCGCTGTACACATTCTGGATGGTACAGGATGCTGTTGCAGTCGCCATTGCCGACTCTTACAGGGGCAGGCTAAATTCTTCGCTGGGCGGCAACAAAGAAAGGCAGGTTCTAAGACTGCTGCCGGAGCTGAAAGGAAAGGACGACATAGATGCGATCTTGGTACGAGTCAAACACAATTCGAGTCTCTTGGACTTGCCTTGTGCAAGAATTCTTCCTGTCTTGATATGCACCACGGCACGCAACACTCTGTGTTGTCAGCCAAAGGCAAAGGCATGATCAGGCCTCTGAGTTCTTCGCTGCATTGGCGCCATTGGCTCCAGTATCACACAGTGGCGACCACCGGATGTGTCCTGTGCTGGATGCCACCAGGGCAGTAACTTGATGATAAGCTTTGCCCCATTTCGCTAGCTTCAGAACACAACTAGGGGATCAAAGATGTTGATGCAAGGGGCTGTTAAGCCATGTGCCACATCGGTGGAAAACTGAGCAGGTTGCACGCTTGTCCCCGCATCTCAATGGGTGGCAAACATGGTGCATGCTGGGTCAATTGTTCATTTTCCTCGATGTTCGATGATGGAATCTTTGGAGACTGCAGGGAATGAGGCTTGTTGGGGGCAGGTGGCTGTGCTTGCAAGGACCACCTCGTGTCACCAAACGTGTGACAGGGCAGTTGAATTTCTCTTTTTGTAACAAGGTGGAGTGTTATTGATTTCAACTGTTCATCTAGTCAATGTCGACTTCCTCCCACCTCCCCTTGTGCCTTGTTATTGTTTCATGAAGGGCAACCAGTCAGATCCAGAGGATGAGAATGAGGGTGTTGAGGAGGATGAGGCTGATGTGCTGCCAGCTTGCAAGCCGACGACGGATGAGAACAGAAAGTCCCAAGCCCAGCGGAACAAGGAGGTAAATAAATGGAGAGATTCAGTGGCAGGGGATGGGGGCAACGCGGCCATCTTTCCAGCACTTGGGAAATCTAACTCACGAAGTGGGTCCGTTGGGTGGGCACATGCATGCAGATAGCTCAGAAGCCATTGTTGTCAGCGGCTGCTGTACTCCTCATTATTGTCTGGGTGGGCTCGGGTGGTGTATATTTTGGACGCTCTCTTGCCTGACACCTGTTCCGTGCTGACACACTATTGGCAGAAACGCATGCGAGAAGCTGAAAGAGAAAATGAGGCGAAGCGGGCAGTGAAGCGACAGCGGCAGCAAATCGATTCCCTTCCTACCATTGTGAAGGAGATTGAAGTTGAGGAGGCTGAGAAGGAGATCTACATGAAAAGGAAGCAAGTGAGCAATTGCACTGTGCATTTGGATTACTACAAATTGGGAATGGCGTTTGTGCAGCTGTTGTGTGCAACGTGTGCACAGCTTATGAAATCACTAGGGAAGAGACCATGTGCACATAGTGTGTTTTTGGATGGGCATTGAGTGTTTGCAGTGTATGACACCATAAATACTAGAAACCTATTACACATTCAAGACCTGCACATGTGCAGCAATGCAGCAGCGCATGATGCATTCTGGTATTCTCAAGGATGATGGGCGGATAATCGTATTGTGCTTGCCACCTATTTGCTGTGGGCTCTTTGCCAACACGACACCAACGAGGGCAAACGCCCAGCAAGCTAAAACACAGCAGGTGTTCCAGGCGTCATTTCCAGCTGCATGAACTTTGAATTCACAGCCATCACCGCTGCAGTGCTTGTTGAACTTATCTGGACACCTCGGTGGGTGGATTGCAATGCGGTTAGCATGAGCATAAAACTAGGCATCTGCAGGTGATTGAAGATGTGTGTGACCTACTTGGTGTCTCCCAATTTCCTTATGCGAACCCCAATCTTAAGAAAGTCAAACATGATATGCGTACATATATGATGAGCGGAGTGTTGGTATCAGCGGGCCTCCATCACTCACTAACCAAATCCTCTGCCTGTGGTGGTGCATCCCAACTGGCATTTTTGGGCGGAACAGAGTATAAAATACTCTGTTTGGAGAGGATGGACACGTTAGGATCGTTGTCTGCTGTGTTGGTTCCAGTGCTTCCTGCTATGACATTTGCCCATGTCGTATGTTTGTTTGATCATCAATTCTGTTGATTCTATGCACATGTTGTTGTTTCAATCGTTTCTGCACTTGCAGGCTATGAAGTCGGAGCGCGCTCTGGAACGACCGCCGCGGCTGGGCAAACACAGGTTCAAGCCTGCGAGCCTCCCTGTGCTGGGCAGCGACGACGTTGCGGGTTCCCTTAGAAGGCTAAAGCCCACGTCGCTGCTAGCGATGCATCGCTACAAGAGCGTGCTGAAGCGAGGGCTGGTGCCCGTGTGCTTGAAAGGCAAGCGAAAGAAGGCAAAGAGGTATGATGCCCTTGTGTTTTGTCCACTTCTGGCCTAATTGAGTGGTCGAGCAGAGCTTTTAAGTGTCAACTTTCGACTACATAATGACCCAGCACAGAAACCACCCGCGGATGTTTTCGTCCATTTGGCGTCAGATGCAGCATCAGTACCCACGACTGAATGCAACAAATATGAAAAGACACCTGTGCGCTGTTGTTTGGGGTGCGGGCCGGTTGTGTGCCCTGCCACGAATTTCGTGCCTGATTCGCAAGGTCAGGTGCTGTACCCACAGTTTTGAAAGAATGGGGTCTTCTGCTGACCTGCAAGAAAAGTTGATGCAGCCTGCTGTCCACAAAGGATTGGTTGTAATCCTGGAGCCTGAATCCTCTGTGACCACTCAAGTTGAAAGGAGCTCACGACGTTGCTCCACACGTTGAACGGTCTACAGAATACGATTGCACATATTTAGGATGTCATCCTCATCGGTGACTAATTGGGACTAAACGCCGGTGCTGATATAGTTCTTCATAACCTGCAGCTAACGGCCTGATGAGATGCGGATTCTAAATGTACATAGTGCCCTGCGCAGTTTGATACATGGCACTTCTTGCAGCTGTGGTCGATGTGTGATACGAAGGCATTAAACACGAGTAGGGAAGATGGCCACAGCGCTGATGTAGAAGTTGCAGTGTTCACAACGGCAGCAACAGTAACGCGCGACAGTCATCAGCGGCACACACACACACCACCATGTCCCAGGAGCTGACAGCAAGAAAGGAAAGCAATGTTTGCATCACTGTCAGCTGCTGACTGCTTGTCCTGCATTGCAGGTACGTTTGGTATGTGGCTGGTGAGCGTGGCAGGAATGCTCAGAAGATGCAGCAGGAGTTGGAGGCTGTCAAGGCAGTCACAAAGAGGATGAAGAGGGCCTTGGGCCCGGCACCCGAGCCAAGCCAGGTGGCTGACGGGTGGTAGCTCAAAACACAGCCCCGTTTCATGCCTCTGGGTCAAGTCTACCCGCCATCCTGCAATGGGAATTGCGACCTTGGCTCCCCGCTCCCACGTTGATCCTTATTTTACCAGTGGCTATGTGCTTGGGGCGCAGTACTTGGCGCAAGCCCGAAGCACCTGCCCGCTGGTTCTTCTCGAGGCTTCATGGTGGAATCATGCGGAGGTCTGGCGATGGCTACGGTTTTGGCGTGTTGTGGGAGTCGGTTGGTCACTGTATTTCTTGGTTCTGCAAAGCAGGTGCCAATGTCTATTTTTGCTTGTTGGGATGCGCCTCTTCTCAACAGCCTGTGTAGATGACTTCCCTCCAGACCACGACGAGCTTCAGTGTGTCTCCACTCTGATGGGATCGTTTTTTGTCAACATCAAAACGTGGAGTTCCATTGCGCTCAAGCTGTTGGTCGGCAGAAGCGAGAGCGAATCGACAGGCTATGGCTGGGCCACCACACTGTCGCTTGGAACATTGCCTTCAATCGCGTTCTTGAACTGGCATCATCCAGCCGAGGGCCACTACCTTTCCATCGAATGAGAACAATGCCTTCAAGGACGCGCGTGACACTGTCACAATGTGCCAGCATGTCTTGGAGACTTGTGAGACAGAGCCCACAGAGCCAGTAGGGCGAGTCTATGCCCATTCAATGCAGTCCACACACACAACAAGCACCAAGTCCTATTGCCTCACTCGCGAGACTGAAGGCCTCTGACCTTGAACCCGTGGCCATGTTTCCTGTACCATGCGCCTGTCAGAACGCAGCAAGGTAGGCGCTCCCCCACGCCTTCGCCCTGGCTCGGCAATTCTCCCCTTTTTGCCGATCGCAGATGTCAGTCTCGCGGGGACACACATCCCAACAGTCATGAACCCAGAAAGAAAATGGCATGCGGACAGTGTTGATCGCGTCCGGTTCAATTGCGACTTTCTCAGCACTTAATGTTACACTCGCCAAATGGCGGCAAACATGTTCATCTCCTATACGCCCAGCTGTCAAGAATGGACAACGCCTCGTCGATCTTATCAATGATCGGCTATGGGACTGGTCGCAGAGATGATCAGAGCCACCCCCTCCCCCCCCCTCCGGTGACCAGACATTAGGCCGTTAAAATGCGCCTTCCATGCACCCAGCAGTCAAGAATCAGAATAATCTTGCCCACCTTGCTGATCAACCGTTTTGGGAGAGAACACAGAGATCATGCACCACTCGTGTCAGGAAACAACGCCGCTGGAATGCTGCCTTTCTTTTCAGAGAACAAACCTCTGTACTAGCAACCACTCACAAACTTTCTGCAAAGAACGTGACCCTTCAAGCTGCGACGCTTCTCCGACCACCACTCGCAGCCGTGAATTCACTCTAAAAGCAAAGACCCTCTCTAATGCACAAAAGCCCCACTCACAAACTTCATCAGTAACAAAATCAATTCTCCAGCAGGCAGAAACCCAGCTCACATTTTACTCGTCCATTTCGCCCCGTGCATTCGTACCATCTATCTAACAATAAAATTAAAGCCTCGTGCGTTGGAAGAAAAAACCCACACCTCTTTCTTAGTGTGATAGCAGCCCCACGCTACAGTTTGGGAAGTGCACAGCCCAAGTTCAATAGCCCAGGGGCACCACCTGCCCCCACTGCACTCCCACTCAGAGCCTTCCTGATCAGCCAGCTGAGCGAACTTCTTCAGGTGCAGAAGGCCCCTCACACACACATACACAACTCGTTCTCGCCCATTATTTTTACACCCAACAGAATTCACCCATTGAAACTCTTCCTTCGTCCGTTAAAAGAATTGCGCCATGCGCCAACCATCGCGGCTGCCACACGGCCGTCCACCCTCGACAGCCACCATCTCCCACACACAAGCGCCGAGCAGTCGGTCCCAAACCGAGGCTCTCTAGGCCTCCCAAAAGCCAAGGGGCCCAAGTGGGGCCTCAGCAGATCTCAAGGGGCTCAAGGGGCTTCAGCAGCCTATAAAGGAGTGAGAGCTTCAGTACCTCCCAAAAGGGTTTAAGGGGCTTCAGCAGCTCATAAAGGAGCTTGAGGCCTTCAGTAGCTCCCAAGTGCGTTCAGGGGCTTCAGTACCTTACACAGGGCTGAAGCTACTTGCGCCAGGTCGCCGCGTTCGCCCCGTGCCCAGCCGGCCCTGTGGCCTCCCACCTCCCCCACCAAGCCCCCGCCCTGCCGCCCCAACCCGATTCCCCCCACGAGTCCGGCGAGGACCGCATCGGCGACCGCCCGCCGCTGCCCAGCGCCGTGCCGCAGGACTCGTCAGACATGTTCCCGCTGCTGCCCATCCTGCTCCCCATAGACGGCGTCGTCCTCCAATCCCCTGTCGCGGGCCCCGGGGACCGCCACCTTCCGTCCGCCGGCCAGCCCGGGGAACCCGCCCAGGCCCGGGCGTCCCAGCCGATCGACCCGCCCGCCGCCTCGTAGCTCTCGATCGCCTCCCGCGCCGCGCCTGCCGACCACTCCCGCATCTCCGCCTTGGTCCTGAACTTAGGGATCGCCAAACTCGCCTCTGATCTCGAGCTCGATCTCGACTCACCCCCAATCCAGCCCGATCTCGACTCCCTGACCCGATTGCCCCCCTTGGAAGAGCACTCTGAAGACCCCTTGGGAGACCCGGCATCGTCGCCCCCCTTCCCCCTCTGTTCCTTCACAACGATCCCTGACAGCGCCGCCATGGCCGCATTCGATGCCACGGCCGCCCTTCCCTCCACCACATCGGATGGATTCGCGAACCGCCTGGGCGCCGCGCGCCAGCCATACTTGTACTCACCGGCGCCGATCTCGGCAATCCAGTCCACGGCCGGCGGGCGCACGTCGCCAGAGGCCACGAAGAGATCGCCGTCGGCCGTGGTGCCATGGATCAGGCTCACGGCACCCGAGGCGTCCCTGGCGGCCAGCACGCGGACCGTCTTGGAGTCGTAGAGGCAGAAGGCGAACTTGCCGCGCAGCTTGGCCACCATGCTGGTGCCCAGCAGCTCGTACAGCCTGCGCGGGGAAAATCACGATGCCCAATCAGAGCGGCCGAGAGAAAAACCTTCCCTCGACCACGACTCACCGACCCCACCCGCCCACAAACCACCGTCGCCATTCCCATCAGGGTAAGATTTGTTGCAAATGAGAAATATGGTCAGGCAAAGAACCC